CAGGCCTTCACCCCATCATTGACTGTGTCCATGGGTTATGCATATATGCATATGACTTGTTTGGTTAATCTCTTCCCACCCTCCACCCCCCCTTCCCTCTTTCCTCTGAAATATGATTGTCTATTGCATGTGTCAATGTCTCTGGATCTACTTAGTTCATCAGATTCTTTTGTTCATTAGCTCCTTCTTAAAGAAGACCCTTCAACATTTCACGTAGTGCTGGTCTGGTGGTGATGAACTCCTTTAGCTTTTTCTTATCCGTGAAGCTCCTTATCTGACCTTCAGTTCTAAATGATAGCTTTGCTGGGTAGAGCAATCTTGGTTGTAGTTCCCTGTTTTTCATCACTTTGAATATTTCTTGCCACTCCCTTCTGGCCTGCAAAGTTTCTGTTGAGAAATCAGCTGACAGTCATATGGCTGCTACCTTGTAGGTAACTAACTGCTTTTCTCTTGCTGCTTTTAAGATTCTCTCTTTGTCTTTAACCTTTGGCATTTTAATTATGATGTGTCTTGCTGTGGGCCTCTGTGGGTTCCTCTTGTTTGGGACCCTCTATGCTTCCTGGACTTGTAAGTCTATTTCTTTCCCCAGGTAGGGGAAGTTTTCTGTAATTATTTTTTCAAATAGGTTTTCAATTTCTTGCTCTCTTTCTTCTCCTTCTGGCACCCCAATAATACGAATGTTGCGCCTCTTGAAGTTGTCCCAGAGGCTACTTATACTATCTTCATATGTCTAGATTCTTTTTTCTTTTTGCTCTTCTGGTTGGGTGTTTTTTTTTTTCCTCATGTTCCAAATTGCTGATTTGATTCTCAGCATCCTCTACTCTACTGTTGGTTCCATGTAAATTATTCTTGATTTCAGTTCGTGCAGCCTTCATTTCAAATTGGTACTTTATTATGTCATCGATTTTCTCAGTTGTTTTTGTAATACTCTTACTAATATGCTTGAGCATCCTTATAACCAAAATCCTGAACTCTGTATCTGTTAGCTTGCTTGGATCTGTTTCATTTAGTTCCTTTTCTAGAGACTTCTTCTGTTCTTTCCTTTGTGACATGTTTCTTTGCCTCCACATTTTGGCTGCTTCCAGGTGTTTGTTTCTATGTATTAGGTAGAGCTGCTGTATCTCCTGGAATTTGTAGAGTGGCTTTGTGTAGTAGGTGTCCTGTAGGGTCCAGTGGCTCAGCCTCCCCAGTCACCTGAGCTGGGCCTTCTAGGCGTTCCCTTGTGTGGGCTGTGTGCACTGTCCTGTTGTAGTTGAGCCTTGGTTGCTGTTGGCGTCACTGGGAGGAATGGACCCCAGGCCAATCAGCTATTAGAACCAGCTGCAACTACAGCCAAAGAGCTGTTGTGCTGGAGACACCCCTATGGAGCAGGATTTACTTCAGTGGAGCTTTCGTGTTCACCAAGTGCGCCCCTTGAGTGTGTCACTAGTGGATGTGGTAGGGTTGTAATCCAGCGTTGTCGAGTCTGACCACCAGGTGCACTGTCTCTGGGGCCTCCCAGGAGGTACAGAGTCAGCCTCTGGCAGTGCTTTGCCCAGGGCCACCCAGCATGAGCTACACAGCAAACCATAGTTGGCTGTGACTTGTGCCAGGCTTGGAGGTGTCCAGGAGAGGCCAAGCTATGAACCAATGCAGGCTGGCACTAGTGCCAGGCCTGGGGCCACTTATCAAGCCCTATGGGGCATACTGAGACCAACTGCTGCTTGTTTGGGAGATTTTAGGAAAGTCCTAAGCATAAGGCTCGAGAGGCCACTTGCACAGAAAAGCCACTGGAAATAGCTTGGATGAGCCTGCAGCGGGGGGAGGGGGCCTCTGGGAATCACCAGGGCGTGGCCAAAGGTGTGAGTCAGGTGCTGGCGATTCAAATATGAATACTGCCTACAGGCTGTGTGCGGGGAGGACTCGCCAAAGCAGCCATGGCCTCTGCCAGCTCTTTTGCCTGGGAGGAAGCCACCCCTCCACCTCTCGCCTCAATTTCAGGCAAGTTAGTTCCTCCCCGAATTTCCCAGGCCCTTTCAAGCAGCTGCCCGGCACTGGGGCTCAGAGGTAGCGCGTCTGAGTGAGTCCGTGCGCGGGCCCTCTAAGAGGAAAGGCTGGGGCTCCCGCAGCCTCCGCAACCCTCAGCCACAGTCCCGCTGGCTTTCATAGCCCAAAGTTGTGGGGACATCTCTTCCCAGTCCTGGAGCCCTGGGCTAGGGTCCTGATGTGGGGCTGGGACCCCTCTTTCCTCCAGGAAACCTCCGCCACTGAGATTCCCTCCCGGGTTTAACCCTCAGCACCAGGTGTGGGCCCACGGCCAGGTCTCCACGATTCAACCCCCATCCGCCCGCGTATCCATCCCTCCTACCGGTCTTGGTGCTTCTTCAGTTCCCTGGTTGTAGGGCTTCTGTTCAGTTAGATTTCAGGAGGCTCTAAGTGATGGTGGTTCTATATTTTAGCTGTAATTTTGATGTGGTTGTGGGAGGCAGCGGGTACAGCTGTTACCTACACCGCCAGCTTGTTTCCTCCAGCTTTTATATTTTAAAATGTGTGTTTGCACTAGGAAATTTTATATGCATATGTGATTAATTTACACACATGCACAGCAATATATATATTGACCATATGGTTATTCAGTTGTGGGATTAGCAAAACATACAGTACCCATGGCCTAGCCTATACTTACGTACCCAGTGTCACCTTCTGCCTCGCTCTGATCACGTTGTTTCATCTGCCCAAGAAATATGATTCTTTCCTTGCAACTTCTAATGAAGGTTAACTGGGACACTGGGAAAAGCATTTGGGTCAGAAGGGTTCTCAGCAAACGCCAGTGCTCCCTTCTGGGACCTTTCTCTGCCTTAGCCATGTCCATTCCTATTTTTTTATGTGTCCTTCATCCGTGATAGACTGAGAGCTTCTCATAGTTTTTTCTAACCCCTGCATGGAACTCCAAACTCAGGATAATGGCTGTGTCTAGGGTGGGAGGGAAGAGAGTTGTTAGAATTGGGGAGGGGTGGAAGCATTCTGTAACACCTTCATTCTTACCTGGTTGGTGGGTATATGAGTATTCTGTTATCATTTGAAATACTTTATCATTTCAAGCAAACAAACCAAAAGCCTTATTCTTATATTTCATTTACGACTGGGACCCTTGTCTTGAAAGCGGTTGGAATGCAGGCAGCTGAATTCTTTTTTGCTGGCCTCTGGAAGCAGAAGATGGTGTCGGGGTGGGAGTCCCGGTATTGAGTGAGGGAGACACTTTGGCCTCCGGCAGAAGGTGTCAGGAGCAGCAGCTCTGAGGGAGATCAGACACATGCATCCTGTCTGCCCAGCTGATGTGGCCTTTCTTTTGTTTTCTGAGCCACTTCTCTGAGTGAACACGGCCAGTAACCAGAGCTGCCTCTTCTCTTTCTTAATATCTCAGCCCCAAATGCTGACAGCCATTGTAGGCATCATGAATGTTTAATGTGGTGATGATCGGGAGGCTGCTGGGCCTCGTTTCATTTCACCAGACCGCCGTGACACTTGCTCCTCTGCTGTGTTGAGACCACTCTCCCCAGTACATACCATGTGCTGCACCTCAAGTGCCTGTGGTTCCCATGCAGTGATTGAGAGTGTCTTTGAGAGTGAGAGATTTTAAAATCCATCTCAATTATTGAACAACCTAGGAGGCTTAGGAAGGGAATGTGTCTTAAATTCCTGAAAAGGAAATCAACAAATCCAAGTCAACAGACACTTCCTGAGCCTGGCTCACCTGAAAATATGCAGTGGTGTTTGTTGGGTGGGGACACAGAGGTGAGCTGGAGGCCATCCCTGCCTCTCGTGGTCCAGTGGCTGGGAAAGATCTATATTTACACAAATGTGATATGATGTGCTGGAAAATATTGCAGAAGTACAGAGACTTACAGGCAAGGAAGGATCATTGCCAACTAAGGGAAGGCTTTATAAAGAAAGGGTGTTGAATTAAGCCTTTAAAGATAGGATTTTGATAGATAGGATTTTGATAGATGCATATTTGTTCATGTATTCATTCAGTAAACATTCTACATTTCCTGTGGGCCTCTGCACACATTCATGCTTCCCTGTACTCCACAAAAGGAGGAGAGAGTGGAGAGTTGAGCACAGGCATCTGAAACGCTTCCACGTGCAAGTGCTGCCCATCTCCTCCTCTCATATTTCCTTGTTCTGTGCAAATCACGTCCCACGCCTTAGTACTTCAAGGTACTTCTTTACATAGGTTCCAGGTGTATAATTCTAAATACATCATTTTACTAGTGCTACTCAGATCCAGAGCTTAGAGAAAATGAAAGGAAATTAACATTACCTGTAGAGAAAGAGACATGTTAGAACACATGGAGTTTTATTTGCATTCCACGATTGATTTTCTAAGGAGAATTTTCTCCTCCTTTCCTGATCACCCTAGTTTCTTAATTGCTTGAAAATATTATTATTTGATCCCTCAACCTGTGGGGAGTCCGTGGATTAATTGGGATAGAAGTGAGCTAAATGCTATGATGGAGGGAAGGGAGACCTCCTTTCATAGAGTGAGAACACTCAGCACCCTGCTAACCACCTTCTGGACATGTTCAGTACATTGATGATGTTTCTCTTCGCTTCTGAGAGTTTCTAGTGACCAGTCAGTGTTCAAAATAACTGGGTATTGTGGCAAACAATTGCTCAGACTCCTCTTCTTTTACAGATCATGTACAAAACGAAGAAAACTATGCACAAGTTCTGGATAAGTTCGGGAGTAATTTTTTAAGTCGAGACAACCCAGATCTTGGCACTGCTTTCGTCAAATTTTCTACTCTTACAAAGGAACTGTCCACACTGCTGAAAAATCTGGTAAGCCATTTCATAAGTGATTTTAAAAAAAAATGACTGCCAAGCAGCTTTTTAGTCCAGGTATGGAGTCACATATAAAAAATTCCCTTATGGAATTCCTAGAATTTGCACTTCTGGCCCAGCTGACAGCTGTGTAGATTTGTTGAGCCTGTGAGAAACAGGTTAACCTGAATTCGTTGCTCTGTTTCTGTTTTAGATGACTTTTAGCAACTTTTGCCTTTTAATCAGTTTAAAGAGTGATGATGGTTTCTGTATCAGACATCCATGTTCCATGTCACTCGTGTGACGATGGCCATGCATTTTGATCACTGATTTATAAATAATTAACTTCACCCAGCTCCCCACCTCCTTTTAACCTGCTACCAAGAAAAAGATTTTGAGATTCAGGGAGTCTGGGGTTGCAGAAGTAGATGAAAGGAAGCATCCCTAAGTCCTGGGGCACTGGAGGCACTGACCCCAGAAGGCAGACAGAGTTGGGGGTGGGGCACCTGTTTCCCAGGCAGTATTTTCTGGGCACCCCCAGATTGTGCCCAGCCTCACACTGTGTCCACGTGAGAAAGGTCCATTCTGTGAGCTGATTTAATCAAGTCTCATTTCTCCTAAGCCCCAAGAGACAGGAACCCAGGGAGGTTAAAAGGTGCCCCGAGGAAAGCTGTCCCATACTTTCCTCAGCCTTTTCCTGGGGAGGAGGAGCTGTTTCCCTCTCTTTCTCTCCCCGAGTCTCTCACTATTACACCTTGCCCTCCTATAAGGATCCAGAACTCACTCAAGAAGCCTTCACCCTGGGCCAGTTACTCAAGTATCAGATAGGGCTGTGGCCTCGAGAGAGAATCTTGCCACAAATCTGTTTGATAGAAATGGCTGGCTTCCAGACGAATACACCCTCTTGGGAAATTGAAAACCTTCTCTACTATATTAACCTGAATATTTGACCAATCAGAGTATTTCCCCTATTGTGTTGGATAAATATAGGTGCGTATGTGTCTGTCTTGCTGACAGTTTAATTCTAATTGGTGGTTTGTGCCTTCGACTTAGTCTTAGGGACATTCTTAAAGAAAATAAAGTCTGAAGATAGCAGTACGTCTTATTTTCAAAGGATCGTTTTGACCTTAGCATGTACATATCCCTACGCTTTGGGTTTTTTTGATAAATCCATGATATTTCTGTAACTTAGATTATTTAAATCTCTTATTCAGAAGTAGGCCCTCTCATTTCTCCTTCCTCTGGACTTCACCTGCCTCTTTGTGGGGGCATTGCTCAGAGGGTGGTGTGAGGTGAAGAAAGGAAGTGAAACCAGACTCTGACAATTCACTTAGGTGGTAGCTGGTAGAAGGCCTGCTGGGGAGGAAGCTCTGTTTTCGCAGAGGTGTTTTCACAGGGATGTCTTGCTAACCTTTAGTTTCCAGGAGACCACATGTGTTTGGCTTAAGTCAAGAGTCATCACTTCTTTGTTTCTCAGACCAATCCCTTTCGCTCTGCCCTGTGCTGCTGGTTCTTTCACACTGTGTGTGTGCCGTCCACACGAGCCAGTGCACTCAAGCATTGTCATCGTCTCATTTGCTTATCTAATAATACATTTGCTTACTGCACCACAGAACAACTGATATTTATTGAACACGTTTCTGAACCTGGCAGTGTGCAAAATGTGTGACTTTCTTAGTTAACAACTTACAACAGTCCTATGAAACGACACTGAGGCCCAGTGAGATTATGTTCAGGCACAGTTAGTGGACGTGAACCAGACATTGTCTCTGTGTCATTGTCTCTACCACCTGCCACTGACCTGCCTCTGTCACTTCCTGCTCTGGGGTTGTGTCTCCCTAACTAGAAGTACTGACCTAGCTAGTCCCCCAGACATCCCCCAGCTGCAGGCCACCTTCTTCCACATCAGTTGTTTTTTAAGGAGTAGAAGTCTAAGAAAGACCTAAAAGAAATTGCTAGAAGACCCAGTTCATATAATTAAAAATATAAAAACCAACATTTTCCCATTGAAGATCGTAGCAGCATCTCCTCGAGGGGCAGGTGGAAGAATCAGTTTGCTCCATCATTGGTTGCTAAGGGAACGCTATTCTGATTCAATAAAAAAAAGTCAGTCCCAGGAGTTTAGACAACCTGACTACAGTCAGCAGCTTGCTGCTTCCCTTTTTATGTTTTGTCAGGAAAGGGAAGAGCAACCCAGTCAGATTGATGGGGCCACGCCTTGGAGAAGAGGAAGCCAGCCCCGCCCCCAGGGAAAGAGGGGTTTCTGGGTCAGCTTTCAACACCTACAGTTGCAGACTGAGGTTTTGGGGGGAGCACCCCCACCTTGCCGAAGCCCTGGAACACACCCCCATGGGAACCAGTATTTCTCAGAAGATTCCCTAAAATTTTATTCACTCAGGCTAGTGAAGACCTGAAACGTTAAGCAATAGTGTATATAGTTAAAATTTAGAAAGTAGGATTTTTTTTTTAAAAAAGGTGCTTGCATATATCTTAGACTTTCTAATTATATTCTCAGTTCAACCAGCAAATACCAAAGGTCTATTGTGTTCCATTTTCTAATTAAGATACTGCTTATAATGGGTATTTTTAATAGTTACGTTATATTAAGACATTACTTTTTTTTATGGAGTAAAATGAAAGGTAGATTTTGGGGTCAGGCCTGGCTTTCTATTTTTTACTAACTCTAGATAGGGAAACAGTTTCATTATTTGTGTTACTTATAAGCAGTCGTTTTTGCAAGCCCATTGTGTTTCAGAGCTTCTGAAGGTTGGTCCTGAGAGGTTCAGATCCACAAAGTGATGGTGACTGAGTCACCATTTAGATGTTTTTATTTTTCTGTGCTTTTAATGACTGTGGAAGGGGTGGTGACCAATGAGAGGTTCTGTGAAAACCCCCGAGAGCTGCACAGATGTTGATGTGAGCATCAGATAGGGCTGAGGCTGGTTTTTATTAACCAGATTCTACCTTTAAACTGACAGTGTCTGAGGACCCCAGAGAGGATTAGCTGTAGCTGATGACTCTCAGAGTCGATATACCACGTCATGGTTAAAGCTCCTTGCTGTTCTTACTGTTTCTCCCCTTCATGTCCTAGAAAGTGGGTTTTGCAAAAAGTTGTTTTACCTTGTAAATTATTACCTTGTCATATACAATGAAACGGGCTATGAGATGTAGGTAGAGGGAGGAATATGGGTTTGGGTCTCACTCAGACCTGCGATCCCAGTTCCCAAATTATTAGCTTTATAGCCTTAGGCAAACAATTTAACTTTTCTGATGCCTGGTTTCCTTATCTAGAAAAAGAAAGAATAGTCTGTATCTTGGCAGTTGTGGGACTTCATTGAGATCCTAGAGGTAAATCGTTAAGTGCCATACCTAACATGTGGAATTTGCTTCACAAATACAAGCTTTTATTGTTACTCACATCTTCTCATTTGATCTTCATGGCAATTCAGAGAGCAAAGGCAAGTATGAAAAGACAGCCCATTTTATAGATAAATGCACCAAATCTCAAAAAAAAATAATATGACTGGGAGCTGGTGGGGTTCGGGCTTCAGCTGGTCTTCCCGGCCTGCAGATCAGGTCAAGCCCTCTCTCAGCAGCGCTGCCCCTCCCTGCCCCCCAGTCCAAAGCAACAGCATTGCCTTTGCAGACGGGGTGCTAAGGGCCCACTGGCCATGGCGACTGGAACCTCCATCAAACTCCTGTTTGTGTTTAGCTTGCATAGTACTTTCGTACCTACTTTTTCCCTTTCATTTCCCTCATCAGTGAATTATAGTATATTAGAAAGAGTGAGAGTGTTAGCCAGTAATTTTGAAACTTTTTGGACTCCAATCTTAAAAATGATTGAGTACACCAGAGTTTTTGTTTATGTGGACCATTTTTATCCATACTTACTGTATTAAAACTTAAAACTGAGACATTTTAAAGGCTATTAATTCATTTTGTTGAGGTACATTGAGGTAAAAAAAAAAATAGAGCCTCACACAGGTCTATATATTGGGAAGAGAGAAGTACTGTAATGGCCTTTTCAGGCAATTACCAATATTCTTCCTCGATACTATATCAGAACTTGACAAGTGGTAGTTTCTTAAAAGTTAGTAGTAATATGAATCTGGAATCATATCTAGATGAAGTTGAAGACTTTGTAAGCTGTCAAGCTCATCATGACAGATACAAGTTTCCCAAAATGTTACCTTTTCACTGAAAGCTCCAATTTTAACAGCAACAAATACTGTCCCTGTTTACCTTGCAGTGACAGGTTCGGTTCATTCATTTTGGAGAAAACATTTGCCAAGTACCCAAGTCTCAGTACCACAGTTTGTCAGTAATTCTTTCAATAAAAAATAAAAAAAAGGTCTTCCACTCAAAAACTAAAAAACCAGTTAGTTCAGCTTGCAACTCAGAATGTTGCGTGCTTTTTCAGATAAGCCATCACCTTTTGGTTTGCCTTGGAAGTACCTTATGCATATTTTCTGTTTCATCAAACAACATTAAAAAGGTCTATTCAGCCCGGCCAGGCGAGCTCAGCGGTTAAGCGTCAACCTAGGATCCAGGCGATCAGGGTTCAATTCCCAGTCAGGGCACATGCCTGGGTTGTGGGCTGCAGGTGATCAATGACTCTCTCATCACTGATGTTTCTCTCTCTCTCTCTCCCTCTCCTTTCCTCTCTCTGAAATCAATAAAGATATATTTAAAAAAAA